AGGAGGGGTGGGGAGAGGGGAGGGGAGGGGAAGAGGGAGGAAATGCAGAGGTGACTATGAACAGGGTACATGGATATACATAGATGAAAATGTCATAGTGAAACCTATATCTTTGTGTGCTAATTAAGTATTAATAACAGAAATCTCATTTTAAATAATTCAGAGGACTGCATTACTTTTTCTGCTCACAAAGGGAGATGTGAATAAAAGCTGGCGTGAATCAAAGGAAGTGTTCTTGGTGGTCACAGAGCCCCTGCCTCAGTCCTCCTATGCTTTAAAAGAAGGTCTGAGTAAGCAGCTGGAGCTGCCTGGAAGACTGGCTCAGGATAAACCCGAGAGGAAAACTCCATCATGGAGTCGCTGAAAAACAGTTGGCCCAATAATCCAGCCAGATCTTTAGCAGGAGGAGGGGAGGAGAGGCCTGGGATACATGAAAGGCTGGCAGCTATGGGGAGGCAGAATTACTGCCAAGAACAAGGGCTCAGGTAGCATCTCTTCCACTTATGAAAGCTATTAAGACTTGTTTTGGGGAGATATTGGCAAATACAATCCCTGGCTGAAACATACTTTTTTAAATAATTGGGCTAATGCATGTAAATTACTTAGCAGATTCCTAGGCATAAAATCCATTTTTTGCTACTGTTTATTTTTGAGACTGTATTTTAATTACAACATTTTTCATTTCCCTTTTTTCCCTCCAAACCCTCCTATATACCCATCCCCATTTCTTCCTGAAATTCATGGCTTCAGTCATTATTGCATGCATATCCACACAAAAATATATTTGTTAATTGATCTGACTAAAGGGTCTATTCCCCAGACTGTCTTCTATTGAAAGTCACCTTGGTTGTAGCAAAGGAAGATTTGAAAAAAAAAATACATTGTACCATATGTCTAGTAAGTTCTTATATGAGTTATTAGTAAATAAAAGTAACATGACAGTGGTAATTATGTATTGAAAGGGGAAATGCCAGGTATGGTGGTGCACACCTAAAAATCCCAGCACTCAAGGGGCAGAGGCAACAAGGTTTCTGTGAGTTCAAGGCCACCCTGATCTACAGAGAACACATTCCAGACCAGCCAAAACTACAGGCTACAGGAAGGAAGGAGGGAGGGAGGGAGGGAGGGAGGGAGGGAAGGAAAAAAGGAAGGAGGGAAGGAAGGGAGGGAGAAGTATGAACACTAGGCCAAACTTTGGCCCAGTTACCAAAGTCTTTGAACCATCTAGGTTACTCATTTTTTTGTTTGTTTGTTTTTGGTTTTTTTGTTTGTTTGTTTTTCGAGACAGGGTTTCTCTGTGTAGCTTTGGAGCCTATCGTGGCACTTGCTCTGGAGACCAGGCTGGCCTTGAACTCACAGAGATCCACCTGCCTCTGCCTCTACCTCCCCAGTGCTGGGATTAAACGCCTGCACCACCAATGCCCGGCCTGGGTTACTCTTAACAGTAACAAGCTTTCTCTCATTGGCCAGGGTCCCTGTAGAAACTGAGCTGAGAGACCTTATTCTCCAGCACCAGTCCAGACATCTGTGTCCCCGCTCTATCCAAGCTAGCACTGCACATCTGAAAGGCAGATTCATGGACTCATCTTCCCATGCATTCTAATTCAAGTCTTCCGGGCACACAGAAATCTATTTCAGTCACTCATCTATATCTGATGCACTCATAAACTGGGAACTAATATTCTAGACACTGCCTAAATCCAAAAATCTGTGAGCTAGTTGTACATAATCAAATAAGCAACATTATTGAACAAATGAATTTGAGTATGAAGGATAACCAATAAGTAAGTGTTAATGAATGAATATTCAGGTCTATAGTATACTGCCCTAGGCTTGGAAATGAAGACCTAGCTGTGGGTTTGTGCCTGGTGAAATTGATGTTTTAATTAGGCACCCAGAAAGTGTCCTCGTTTTTGATTCCTGTCAATTCAGGGTGCTTCTGATCCATTAATGTAGCAATGCTTTGAAATTTCCCTCATTAAATTCTCAAAATGAAATAATCTTAATTTATGTGGATTTTTATAATAAATTTTTTAAGCATTGCTTACTGTTTATAGCTGAAAATCACTGATATTCTTGAATCCCTCTCTCCTTCTTGCTCTCCCTTGGCTCTGCTCACTCTCTCTGGTCTCCATCACAATTGCCTCTTTCTTTGCTGTACTTGGAGGTGTCGGAGGTGTGATTTGCAGGTCATGCAATCTCTCCATCCCATTCCATGGATGTCTGTTAGACCTTGGAACCTGCAGAACAAAGCCTGGTCAGTTTTGTATAAGAGAGACCTTCACTAAAGGTAAGTCTTGATGCTTAGAAGTGCAGAGATAATCCTTTTTATCATTTGCTAACACCTGCCACATGCCCAGTGTTATAATGAGGGCTTGACCAGGACCACATTACTCCAGTCATACAACCATATGACCTGGATGGATCCCATCACTAATCCCCCTATCCAAAACATCTCACTTTTCTTCTTATTTTTCGATTGCTGGAAATTGAAACCAAGGCTATACACATGACAAGTGCTCGACGTCTAAGCTATGTCCATAGCTCTTTATCCCCATTTTGAAGATGTATCTATACATTATTCATACATATATATGTGTGTGCATGTATAGGTTTATATACATTACATGCTTACAGGAGCTTCTGAAAGCCAGAAGAGGGCATTGAATCCTCTAGAACTGAAGTTACAGGCTGTGGGCTACTATGTGAACACTAGGGATGCAACCTGGGTCTTCTGCAAGACCTCTGGGTCATCTCTCTACTGTCTCCATTCTCCATTTTTTTAAATGAAAAATTGGAGGCACATAAAGATTAAATAATTTTTAAAGCTATTGATAAATGAGTGTGGTAGCCAAAATTCAAATACAAGCACTTTGACCCCCAAAATATTAATAAAGCTACATGTAGCCTCATTTACAACATTCACATCTCAGAAAATAATTAGTAGATTATTTGCAGAGTTTCCTAAATGCAGACTCCTGGAACTGCCCAGATTTCATGTTCAACACAAAAACCAATTGCTGACAAAATTAGAAGTAAAGGCTGGTGAACACATTTCAAGTTTGAAAGAGAGGAGACACCTTAGCATTCAAAACCCAAAAGTCATAAAGAACACAATTGATTTGAATGTGTCCATATTATAATCTGTAAAATAAATGATAATGTTAAATAATAAGTCAATGTAAAAGACAAAGAACTAAGATAATAAAAAGAAATAAATTATAGAAAAACATACTATTACCTATCCAGGAAAATAATTTCAAAATTTTTCTTTTTAAAAGATGAGCTAGGGAGTGGGTAGACTGTTCAGTCAAGTGCATGGAGAGACAAATTCAGATCCCAGGAAACCAAGTAAAAAAGATAGACTTGGTAGTGTGTGCATGTATTCCACTGGGGCCAAAGCCAAGCAGACAAATTGGCCAGCCTGGCTGAATCAACGAACATCAAGCCCAGAAAGAGACCCAGCATCCCAAACTAAGACAGTAATGGAGGAAAGATACCTGCTAATAACCTCTGACCTTTACACTGCATGTACATGCACAGACACAAACACACACACCAGCAAGAACACATACCATACACTAACAGATACACAAAACCAACTATCAGGAAAAAATAAAACATGAAGGCAATCCTTGGCACAGTGAATAGCAATATGAAAACAAACCAAAAAGCAATTTAACCTTGCTAGTAAAAATTAAGGCAATGTGAGGTATAGAAAAAAAATATGACATGTTTAGTCCATAAGATCAATAACAAATATGTCTTACTATATGAAGGATAATTGCACACACACACTAAATAAATAGAGGCAAAATACTCTTTTAATAAATGGCCTCAATGCTCACATATAGGAAGCAGTTGGACTATGTTGTATCCAAACCTTGCAATGCTGTCTGCTATGTAGCATGTACTAGATCTACTTGTTAATACAGGTAAATATCTTAACTATTGTCAAGTGGGATGAAGTCAATTACAAATTAATACACATAGTGGTCTACATAGAAACAGAAATCAGCAAAGCCAAACGTCGTGGAATTGGGAGGAAAGAACAAAAATCAGAGGGCATCAAAGTTATGCAAGAGAGAGGAAGAGCCACAATTCCCACCTCAACGGGATTGGTATTAAGAAGCAACAGGGCTCTGTCAATCTTCATAGCCTACCTGCCCTGTAACTTTGAACTTTGCTATTCAAAGTCTTTCTTACACTGATGGAGAAACATCCCAAAGCCCCTCAGAGCCAAGGACATTGGTTCTCTGACACCGCTCTTCCACTCTTGATTGTGGGCATTCATACTTAATCCTCATAAGAATTAAGGGATTCTGTGCATAGATTAGAGCCTGAAAGCTTGCCTGGAAAACTGCTAACAACTGCCTGTGATGGATCAATGACCTGGAATGGCTCTGCTATGTGAGAAGAGTTCAGTATCTTGGAAATTTTGCCATTTCTCACTGATAGGGGTTAAACAGAATTGAAGTTACATTTTAATGTGGCTTTACCAGTAGCTTTTCAGCATTGCCAACAGGGGCAGTTGTGGAAGATTAATGCTTTGGTGGTATGGATCTCCAATGTCCCCCAAAGGCTCGTGTCTTTTAGGCCTGGTCTCCAGCCTTTAGCACGTTAGGAGGCAGGGCCTAGAGGAAGGAAGTTACACCCCAGGGCACATGCTATTGAAGGGAATAGTAAGTTCCCCACCTTCTCTTTCTGTTTCCTGGACACCATGAGGTGTATGGCTTCCTTAGCCATGCTCTCCCACTATGGTTATATTTCTGACCATAGGCCAAAAAAGCAACATGGCCAAGAAACCACGGACTGAGCCAAAACAAACCATTGTGGTTTTTGTTTGTTTGTTTGTTTGTTTGGGGGGGTTTTTTTGGTGTTTTGTTTTGTTTTCCAACTCACCTCAGGTGTTTTGTCACAGGTCAGGATGATGAGCAACACAGGAGTGACTTTCATTATGGCGCTTACAGCAACATCCCTAGCCTTTTGTTCCTAAATGCCCAGAAAGATGTCCCCTGATGCCCTACCCAACTGTGATAGCAGAAGTCTCTGAGTGGCAGCTTACATCCTGGGGTTGGGGAAGCAAAAGCATCTCTGGCTGAGGAAGCACTTTTTGTGTTTGTTGCTCTAGGGTGCTCGTCAGTCCTCCCAGCATATCTGAAGCTGGGGGCACTGCTGGAGCTTGTTTTTCACTTTGTCCATTTACACAGGTTCTACAGTGATTGAACCCATGGGGTAAAGGCCAGGAATGGTGGCACACACTGGCAACCCCAGAACCCAAAAGGTTGAAACAGGAGGCTTGAGAACTGAAGGGCAGCCTACATTACATAGCGAGGCCTTGTTTCAAAGCAAAACAAATAAACAGAAAACTAGTGGAGTTGCATAGAAGACTCCATCTCTAGGAAGCACTTACTGGAATACCATTGTGCAGATTCGGCCTTTTGGTTAAGTTACAAACCTGAGTGATGCAGGGTTAGTTCTGAGCAAGCTCCCCCACAGCTAACGCAGCCAAAATGTCTCGTAGAAAGCTGTGGTTGTTTTGCAATTCTGAAGCATGTGTACCACAAAGTCCTCAGCTCAGATAGTTTACCTGGGAGTTCTAAGGGGATAGGGAGCCACTCCTCACAGGAGGAAGTCTAGATTCCTATCTCTGGAGATTTCACTTGGGCTTTTATTTCCACCTGGAGGGTGGCACCATCTTACACACCCACCCATCTCAGCATCTTTTCTTTCTCCAGGCGGAATCCAGTGGTTTTCAGTTAAAGGCTGCACGGAGGACAAATCAGAGTGCTTCAAGAGAATCATGAAGAATTACGAAATCCGCTCTAGTCACTGCTGCCACCGGCCCCTGTGCAACTTCTGAGGAAGCAAGTGGCCCATATCCTTGTCACTAGACTAGCCAGGCAGATCTGAAGCCTGGCCTGGCCTTCACATGATGGCAGCTTCTGTCATGTAGGTGCTCAGGGCCTTTTCATAAGTTGACTTTGGCATTCACTATATCCATATCCCCCTCCACCCCCATCCCACAGTCTCCAATGTACCTTACAAGAGCTCTGTGTTACACGAGCTTTGTTTCTGTTGCTATGATAAAATATTCTGATAAGGAGTATCTCGGGGAGGAAGGGGTTTACTCGGCTTATACTTCCAAGTCACCGTCCATCACTGAGGAAAATCCAGGCGGGAACTCAAGGCCAGAACCTGGAGGCAGGAATTGAAGCAGAGGCCACAGAGGAACAATGCTTACTGGTTTGTTCCTCATAGCTGGCTCCTTTTGTGTGTGTGTATATATATATCCCAGATGCCCCCAGGGACAGCACCACTAATCTTCAATCGAGAAAATGCCCCCACACATCTGCCCTCATCCAATGGAGACATTACCTGCGGCTCCCTCTTGCCAAGTGACTCCAGCTTGGGTCACATTGACCCCAGCTCCCCAAAATAATCCTTTCAGCATCATATCTCCCCTGCTCCTGCTTCTTTCCCCACTTGGGGTGTTAGCAAGGCAACAGAGAAGCAAAATGACCACGGTTCTCCAAGCCAAACCAGACACATAATCTCTAATTAGTTTGACTCCCTAAACATTTCCACACTAAAAGGTATACTGACAAGTAAATTACATCACCCGACCCAAAGCAATGCATACCCTGATGTGGTTTATGGGAGGAACTAGCAGATCCCATTTAAAAAAAAAAAAAAATGTTAAGCCACAAATCAGCAAACCAGGCCTTCGGGAGTGGGGAACCCCAACAGCAAAGGCCTGAGGCAGGCAGGGAGACCACCACCTTCTATGTCAGGACTGGCCCAGATGCTGGGTTTCCATAGATAACCCAGGCCCAAGTGTTTGTCTACTGTGGGTCAATGAAACAATCCCAGACGAGTGGGGCTGGGTGGTCACCCTCAGGGAAACCAAGGGACTTGTTTGACATTGGGTCTCTGTTCTGCCCATTCTGTGCCCTCCTTCTGCACCCTGAGCACACTCTTACTTTACAACCCACCTTGGATTTCTCTGCACTTTTAGGGGTTTGAAAAATAACAAAATCTTCTGGGCCTTTTCTAAGGACTTAGGATATCTAGTGTCCTGCAATCTATGCTTCTCTAAAAACTTTGAAGAAAAAAAGTTTTTAAATGCAATCCTAGGCAGGAATGATGGTAAATGCTTGTTCCTCCCAACACACAGGAAGCAGGGGCTGGGCAATCAGAAATCAGGCCATGCATCACAACCTTGTCTCAAAACAAAACAAAAATTAAACTAAAGCCTAGGACAGATTTTCCCCCACACTTCAGCTCTATTCCTTAGATCATGTTTCTGAGTCTAAGACAACAATGTCTTCATCTTTAATCACCCCATTCTGTCATTTTTAAAAACTCATCAGTAAACAGCTGTTGCCACAGATCAGCAAACTACAGAAACCTTTTTTTTTTCCCTTGTGCTTTTTGAAAATGTCCCATCATCAACCCAATGTCATGGTGGCAAATGCCAAACTTATACAGCCAGTGGCCCCTGACAGAGGCTTCCACAACACAGTCACAGTCCCTGGAATGCTGCAAGAAAAGAATTAGTAAATGAGTGCTCATCTGCTTGGCTGGCCATGTGAGCTTCTCCTCCACACAGAACTACTCCATGCAGAGGCCTCTCTGTCTTCTCTCCACACTGGCCCCTCAGAACCTCATTCTCTTCACACATAAAATGAAAAGATGACTCAATCTCTTAAGATACCCTCATGTCCAAAGAGTCCTGACACTCTATCTCTTTGTTTCCTTAGATACAAACACGACAGTGTGCTGACCACAATCCCTAGGGTAGACCCAGGTCTGACAATGTTCATCCAACTCTGCATAATCCAGGAACCTGGGCAGAGAAAGGCAAGCCCTGAGAAAAGCAAATGCCATTGATGTAGTTGACTGGTGCAACAATACCACCCCCAAAGTCACCATGGCAACAAAAATAAGCCATACAACACTGGTGTGTAAAGCAGAATGCAATCCCTTAAAGATGTCAATGTTCTAGTCCCTATGTGTTTCCTTGACAAAATGGGCTTTGTGCCAATGTGTTTAAACCAGGGACTGTAGGATCAGTTACTCAGTGGAATCACAAAAGTCTAAGAGGAGGGTCAGAGTGAGGGGACGTGTGATGAGGAATGCTTAGGTCACAGGGTGGTGGATGCTTCATTGCTGGTTTGAAGGGCGAAGGAAGGTCACAAGCCAAGGAATGAATTTTGGCAGCCTGTACAAGCTGAGAAAAGGACACATCTTCTCCACTAAGCTTCCATCAGAACGCAGCTTGAAGGACACAGGACATAGTCTTAAGTTTCCTCCCTCTGGGTCTGTGAGAGAGTAAATTTATTTGTGTGTGTGTGTGTGTGTGTGTGTGTGTGTGTGTGTGTGTGTGTGTGTGTGTGTGTGTGAGCCTTAGCATGTGTCTACAAGTCAGTTGTCAACATTGAAGTGGGTTCTCACTAGCTGATTGTTTCTGTCACCCTCTACTCCGGGACAGCTGGGCTGCAAGCTCGGCCTCCCATCTGAATTTGGGGGGCCCTGGGATTAGAGCGGTATGCCATGCGTCCAGTCTTGCACTTGGGTTCTGAGGACTGGCCTCAAGGTTGCCAGGCTTGTGTGTCAACAAGCCCTTTTCTCTGTAAGACATCTCCCCAGCCATGCCTTTTATTTTTAGTATGGCCATTCATTACAACCACGGGAAAAATAAGAACCCTTGAACATACGTACGGAGCATGATCTAGCATTTCCTCTCCCAAGGGAGACAGACCCGATGCTTAGGTGACAACATGGGGGTCTGATGCCTGGAGTAGCAGTGCATTGTTGTATCTTCCATCTTTCCATGTAGCTTCTCAGTCACAATTTCTCCAGAAACACACAGATGGACTGCAGACATGCAGTCACACCTTTTTAGCTGACACCTCCCACTCAAGTGTTCATCCATTCAGGAATTCTTCAGTTAATAAGCTGACTCACACTTAAAGGGAAAGCCATACCAAATTCGCCTGAATGTCACCTGTGAAACACCAGCCTGGGGGCTAATGGTGCAAAGATCTCCCTAGAGCCTCTGAACATCAGGTTGGGCTCCTTGTCTAATACTGTAACATGAAAAATAAATGACCCAGAGACTGATACTGGGGCTCAAACTTCAAGCTGAAGATCAGAAAAGCAAAGCAGCTGGCCACCAGCTTCTTACCTCTACCTCAGGCTGAATGGGCCTATCCTGCCTCCATGAGCTCTCAGCCTCAGACTGTAAACTCTCCTCTCTGAGACTTTGCTTCTGTCTTATATACTTTCATAATGATATTAAAGATGTGAGGTATAATTCTCTTTTAGAGTGATTCACTCTTGTGCATATCTGGGTGGCCTTGAACTCACAAAGACCCATCTATCTCTTAATACCAAATTTTAGGATTAAAGGTGTGTACCACCACCTCCTAGCTTCTGGCAGCTGGGATTAAAGGTGTGTGCCTGGCTTCTATGGCTTGTGGCTGACTTGGCTTTCTGAATCCTCAGACAAGCCTTAATAAAACATAAATAATATATCACTACATAATGCACCCCCTCTGATACTGAAATAGAAATCTCAGTGGCTAAAACTTCTCATTTCTTTAAAAGGAAAGTCTTGGGGCTGGGGATTAGACCCAGGGGGTGATGCTTGCCACCAAGCATGAGGAGCTGAGTTCAGATCCTCAGCATCCATGTAAACAGTTCGAAGCAATGGCACACACCTGTGGCCCTAGAATGTGGGAGGTAGAGAGAGACGGACCCCTGGGCCTCACTGGCTAGCCAATCCAGCTAAATCTGTATGCTAGATCAGTGAGAGAACCTACCTCAAAAAAATAAGGTAGAGACCCATTAAGGATGTCTTAAGACCCATTAAGGAGACCCATTAAGCATTTTACTCATAGCTTCCTGCTCAAGCACCTTTCATCTTCACATGCCCACACCTAGAGTTAATAGCTCTGCCACCATGAGTGCTATATATGGGGGCTGGAGAGTGGCTCAGCAGTTAAGAGTGCATCCCACCTTTGCAGAAAAGAGTTCAGTTCCCAGTGCCCACACAGCAGAGCTCACAAACACTGTTAAGTACTGTTCCAAGGACTGAATGCCCTCTTCTAGCCTCTACAGGCACCTGCACTCATGTGCAAATACCCTCCACACACACACACACACACACACACACACACACACACACAAGACAAATTTTTTTGCTAAAATTCTTTCCGAAGAGAGATGTAAACAACGTCCATCCCTCTTTCTAAGGCCCCAGTGACAAACTGGGGTGCAACTTTACCAAAGTTCACCCAGAAACCCAGATTGCTAGGCTTCCTTGCAGAGCAATGGGGGGGGCGGCGGTTATGGGGAGGCACACAGATGACCATAAGGCAGCCACACTGGAAGGTCTGCACCCAGCAGGAATGATGGCTTCCGTCCATGGCTGGGTAACAAACTCGTTCCCTCAATACCTGCAACATAAATCCTTTGGCCCCTCTTGCAGGACCACGAGCAGTTAGGGAAGAATTACGTAGGACTGGTTGAGAGGAGTGGCTGGATACTCGGGTTAGGGTCCCATGACCGTCTCCTCCCGGTGTCTACAAAGGAAGGTCAACAGTCAAGAGTTCCTGCAGAACTCCTGAGGACCGTGGGAGTTTGGCTCGGAGGATAGCCCTTCCTGTACTACAAAAGGACTATCTATACTAGAATCCAAAACTAGCAACTCCGGTATCATTTTCTAATTATGCATCTGCCTGAACAATTGGTCCTCCCTGCTGAGAACCGCTGTCAACCAATCTTGTGCCTCTGTTCTCAGGCCTGTGATTTCAAACCTTATCTGTAAACAGGCCTTGTGCTCATGCTTTGACTCCT